CAAAGGTGGAGACTGAAGGGCACCAAGCTGAGCCATTGCTGGTTGTCACAAAGCCGGGGAGATTGGGCCTCATCCCTCCTGTCAGTTACCCTCCACCATAAGCCCTGTGTCTGGGGCTGAAATGACTTTTCAGCAGAGATGAACTTCAGCCCCACTAAATCTCTTTGCTGGCTAAAATAAGACCACGCCGCTCCCTGGTGGCTCATGTGTACCAGCAAGCCGTTAATTAGGCAGGGTTCGGCCAATGGGCCTTCTGTCAGTCAGCCCACAAACATTCCAACACATTTAGACAGCAAAGCGACTGGGACAGGCGCTAGGGCAGGGGAGGGCAATCATTTTTGCAAGGGGAGTCACTTAATGAATTTTGATACGTGGTCATGGGCGAGCTCCGCTTCCCAGAAGGGGCAGGGCCTGGAGTGAAAGAGGTGGGGCTGGGGCCAAGCCACTGTCCGAAGTTGTCTGGGGCCAGAGGCTTTGAATTAAAAACACAGCAAAGGGCTTGAAGCTCCTGCCCCCCCACTACCGCATTGCCTGGCACCTGCCCAGGGCTGCTGTGACTATTTAGGGCTCATGGCTCTGGCCCCTGCCAGGGTAGCGCCACAATCGTGAGCCATTGACATAAAATCCTGTTGCCTGAAAATTCAGGGGCAGGAGGATATAGATAGAAAATGGCCAGATGTAGTCTGTGGGCCAGATCTGGCCCCTGGGGTACATCTTGCCCAGCCCTGCTCTAGAGAGACTCTGATCCATCTCCAGGTAGGTCAGTGTCAGCCTGTGCCTCTGGCTACTAGCGCTTCTCCCCACCCCCAGTAGGAGATGCTGGGGGTGAGCATCCCCCTCTCCGAACCAGTAATGCCATGGAGTTCGGATGCCTTGCTGAGCTGTGGGCATCTCTCCTGACACAAGCCCCTCCTGGCTTTCAGAAGAGCTGAGACCTGTAGCTCCAGTAAAAGCACATGGGAGAGGTGGGTGCACAGCACCCCGTTGATCCATCCTCAACTTCCTGAGGACTGGCTGCAGGAGGTATCTGGCTGCAGGGGGATCGGTTACTTGCTCTGGCCTGGCCACACAACAGGCCTCTCATTTGTATTGCAGTGCTCTCTGCAGCCCCACTCCAGGTCAAGGCCTCCCTGTGCTAGACATAGGAAAACACCCTGCCGCCACTAGGCTGCTCAGTCTGCCTGCCCAGCTTGTGCTTGCCCCAAGTGCCTAGGGGCGAGGGGAGAGCTGAGCATTGGTCGAGGGGCAGAGCTGGCATTCTAGCCAGCCCCTTTCTGTGGGCAGTGCCCTGTGGCGCGGGACGTGCTTGCACTGCACTGGAGCTCTCTTTCCGCCCCCGGCTTGAAGAGGCTGTCTCTCTTGGGGCTACCCAGTCCTTGCGGCTGTGAGGAGGGCTCTGCCCCCATCATTGTCAGGGGCCTGCAACTTGGGGGGTTGTGTCCTAGAAGGCAGGGGGTCCCACTCAGCTGGTGGGGGGGTGGCATAGACCTTTGGGGGAGGGCAAGTTAGTA